CAGCAGCCCCTCCAGCTGGCCAGGCTCAGTGCAGCCAGGGCCAAGACCAAGCAGCTGAGCATCTCATCCCCTTGGCTCCGTACAGAGTCCTGCCATCTCCCCTGTGCTGGGGTTACCCAGTTCCTGGGATCCCACCATGCCCTCCCGGAGACCAGGAGCACATCTGGGCTGAGGGATGCTGAAAGCAAAGAACAGCCAGAGTGCTGCCTGACCCTGGAGGGTGGTGGGAGCTGCCCATGCATCTGCCCTCCTTCGGTCTGGCTGGAAAGGGCGAGGACTGGCACGTGGCACTGGCACGGCTCAGCGCCATTAAGGACGCGGCGCTGCGGCTCTGCTGGGATCCTGGCCAGGTGTGCAAGGGATGGAGTGTTTCAGGATCCTGGAGCGCTGCAGGTGTGAGCGAGCCTGGCAGGAGCTGGCCCAAGAGATCCCCGGGCTGTCAGCCAACCCTGGTGAGGCAGCCAGAAAAGCACTGGGGTTTTTCAGAGGCACGGGGAGCTCCTCTGAAGCAGCAGGGCCCGAGCCACACTGCATGGCCCTGTACCAAAGCAGCCAGGCTCCTGCCAGAGCAGGGACAGGCAACAGCACCTGAGGCCAGGCCTGGCACTCTTCCCTGAGCAGCCTCAGGGCTCTGAGCATGGAGCAGCAATCCAGAGCAGACCTCAGAGGCCCTGGGCATGGATTTTTGCTGCAGGACAGACTATACAGCACATCAGCCCCACAGAAGCTCAGCCCAAGCACGAGGGAGCTCCTCTGCCAGACATACGACTGCCGGAGCATTCACCCAAGCCCAGAGACCATGCTGTGGCATGGACAGAGAGCAGCGGAAACTGCCTGTGGAACAAAGCGCCTGCCTGCCACATGCTGAAAAGCTCTCCCAAATTCTGTGTGAGCAGCCAAGAAACAGATGAGGGATTCCTGCGTCAATCACCAGGCACTGAGTGGGGATGGTGCTCTGGGAACACAGCACACAGAGTGGTGCCAGGAGGCTCCGCCAGCTGGGGGAGAGGAGGAGGCCAGCAGCCCTTTGGCCGCTCTCAGGCACCGCTGGCCCATGCCAGCGGCCTCACTGCTTCCAGTGGACACAGCAGTGACCCAGGACTTGCTGCATCCCATCTCTGCCTCATTTGCAGGCTCAGGAGATCAGGGAGCACCAACAAACCAAGCCACAGAGCCACCCAGCACACACCACCATAAGTCTCCTGGGGACTGCAGCTTGCAGACCAGCATCACACACAACAGGCTTTAACAGTTCCTACCCATTTTTGGTCTACAGGATGCTCAGACCAGAAGTTTCCACGACTGAACAATTCCTGTTGTGGGCCAAAGAAGCCCTAGGAAGGCTCCAGCCCAGCGGGAAGCAGACGGGGGCAGGAGCTGGCTCAGCTCCTACCATGCTCCAGCTTCCCTCCCGCAATGAGAAGCGTCACGGGGAAGGAACAGCCCATTCGAGCCAACAGCATCATCCAAAAGGCAACACATCTGCTCATGGGGACCTGGTGACATGCAGGCTGCCCTAAAGCCCCAAGGGGATACCACTGCACCCGTGTGTCCCTCCCTCTTGCCTGCACAGCTGTCCTGGGGCAGCCCCAGGGGACAAGGCTGTCACTTACCTTCTTGTGTTTTTTTGCCATCCACTTGTCCCAGTTGTTGAGCATATCCAGCCACTTGGACTCCCGCTGCCCCTCCAAGGGTCCCTCCTCTAGCCTGTGGCATGGGGGGGAAGAGGCCGGTCAGCATGGCTGCAAGCCCTCCCTGCATCACAGAGGCCCCTGTCCCCTCCAGCACCCTGGGTGCCCCCCATGGCCGTCTGGTTGCCCTCCCCCAGGCGCAGAGCCTGGCTGGGACACGCTCGAGAGCGCTGGTGTTTCGGCAGCTGCTCGGCGCTGCCGGAAGCGCTCACCGCCCATGAAATCACTGCGCCAGCGCACCCCCAACTCCCCAGACGTTCAAAAGCTCTTGGGAGCAGCCTGCACTGCACCCACCATATGCCTGAGCATCCCTGGGGACCTGTGCCCAGAGAGAAGGGCATGCCAGGAAGGCGAGGAACCGGGGAGCACAGCCACAGCCATTAGCTGAGCTGAGCAAGGTCCGATCCCCTACACAGGGCCTAGCTGCAGATGGAAAAAGCCAGGGCCATAAGCATCATGTCATCTGCACAGCCCCAGTCATGCTCGCACCCCAAAAGCCTGGCGCGGCTCCAGGCCCGGCGTTGAGCCCAGCTGAGGGTCCCCCAGGAGGGAGGAGAGTGTTTTCCAGCAACAGCTCAGCCTAGCCGGGGAATCCGATTTAACCCTGCCGAGGCAGGCAGGGATGCTGCCGTGACGCCAAAGCTGGCGAGGGGGAAGACAGTGCTGCAGCCAGTGCTGCAGCCTCCACCCTCCCCGGGCACCCTCTGCCTTTCATCAGGGGGGAGCCAGGGTGACAGACAGCTCATCCAGGCCCTAGGTGTGTGCATCCCAGGAAGAGCAGAAGCTCCTTCAAGCCATCAGTGGAGAAGGGCCAATTTCAGCAGACCTGATGCCTTCCTGGGCTTGGCTCCGCGCTACCCTGCAGCCGTGCCGATCCCAGGAGTGGCCAGATCCTTTCCGAGGACAGCGGTCCAGGTGCCGAGCATCCCCCAGGGACATGCAGAGCACCCAGCCCTGCTGCAGGACACACGGGCCCTGCCTCCCCCGAGACCTCTCCGCATTAGGAGCTGGAAAGCAAGCGGCACGGAGAGCCCAGGGCCGCATCCAGCTGGCAGCACTGCCCCGCTCCCTGCCCAGCCCTTCCCCGCCAGGTCCCACCCACCGCAGCGGGTCAGACGGGGCCGAGCACAATTGTTTCAGAGAGCAAACCCTCTCCGAAGGGATCTGCTTTGCTCGGTGCAGCCACCCCAGCTCTCCAGTGCAGGCTGGGCATGGTCGGCAGCTCCCCGGCTGGCAGCGAAGCCCAGCATGCGGATGGAGGGAGCGCTGGCCCCAAGCCGGGAAGCCTGGACTGCCGGAGGAGCTGGGGCTCTCTGAGGCGTGGGAAGCTTGGGAGCACTGGACGCTGGATACAGGAGCTGGCTGCAGGCCTGCTGGAGCTTGGCCAGCCCAGACTGGAAGCTGTTACCAGCTGATAGCTGCTTGGCAGCAGGCACAGAGCGAGGACCGAAGGCATTTCAGATGGCCAAGGCGGGGAGGACGGGGTGGGGACACCCCAGGCCGGGAGGCAGCGAGGTGCCCTATGCGGGGAAAGTCCTCCTCCACACCCACACCATGGGTGACAGCTCCACACCTCGGCCCTTCCCGGTGCCCCCAGAGCCTCCACAGGTGCCGGGACACCCCGCTTGCCCTTCTTGTGCTTCCCCAAAACCATTCCAGTTAGAGGAACTCCACTTCTGCCAGCCGCAGAAGGAGGCCATACACTTCTGTTTATCCACTCCTGGGAGAGACAGGGAGCTGATAAAAGCAATGACGGAGGGCAGGATTGGGCCCCAGTGTGTATGCAGACCGTGGGAGGAAGGCTCAGACCCCAGTGACTGCAGTCACCACGCCATCGGCACCCCCACGAGCCGCCACTTGCCTTCAG